CAGCCCACACTGTCAGAATCACATGGCACCAAGAATAAACAAATAAAGAATGCTCAGAATACATGTATTAATATGCCACAGTTAGTGTTTCTGCACAGTTTGTTTTCTCAGCAGTATTTTGCTACCTTGGGACTGAAAAAATGTGTTTTGCTTTACAAGTGAGAAATGATTGATGCTTTGGTAGGAGAGGCTTTTCATAACAGAACAGATGTCTCCTGAAGAGAAAGTTATTGGTACAAGAAAACCACGTTATTGCAATAATGTTAAGGTTTAGGCTTGAGCAAAAGATAGTAAGAGAGTGGGGGGGTGGGGGGCAGCAGGGAGCCAGAGAAGGCAGATACGAGTAGGAGTGAGACACAGTGTGGTTGCTGCACAGCCTTCCCCTCCCATCCCGACTTAACTCTGATGTGCCGAGGCAGCGCAGAGCTCTCAGGAGGCTGACATGTGCACGCTTTGGAAGGCCCATGTCTGCACACAGCCATTTGTCAGTATCTTCTATTTTTCCAAAACATCTTAACTTTCATGTATCATAACTTTTTTATGTGCCAATTAAAGGTGATATTTCTCTCACTCTGTCATGGTAGATTCATAGAATTATATGCAATGTAGAGGATACCAAATCATATCACTTAGAATTTTATTGTAGTGTTAATTTAACTGTAATGTGTTTGCATTATTATCAGTTTGTATAGGACATAAGTCCAGAAGAATCGAGAGGGCAGGTTTTAGACCAACAGGCTTTCTGGAGAGAGGTGAAGAAGGGGGCTATTACAGCCATATGTCTCCATAGGAAATGGAAGCCTTACATTTGAAAAAAGTAACAAAAACCCAAGAGCTTAGAGTTTGGGATATGAGCTAAAGTAATGGATCCAAGTGCAATTTATTTCAAAAACTTGATTACACGGTTTCATAGAAACCTGCTTTGATTTAACTCACCAACTACAATTATTAAGATCCTTAAATTACAGCAGTGATCCTATTGAAGTATGCCACTATATATATGCATGGTTCCAGTAGGAAAGCTAATGGTATTTTCCATTATATACAAAGTAATGCACTCTTTGGGCAGCAAACCACTCTCAGAATATTTTTTAACAATTGTTTGCCTCTGTCCCTTAGATTCATGTCTAAACATACTCATGAAGAAGTCATCTACCCCTGATTTCTCTATTCCAGGCTAACTGTTACATGCTATTGTTCTTTCTTAGTAATTCACTCCCATTCAATATCGCTGAGGGCAAATTTTAGGGGAATCTGAAAGCATTTCTTCCCCATACCTGGCTTGCAGTCATTCCATTTCTTAGCACACTGCAGTGCTCCGGAACAACCCGCATGCATCATCTTTTGCAGGTGTCCTGCCAGGCGAAAAAGCACAGGACAAAGCTGCCTTTGGTGAAGCTTGAACGGTCTTGTCTTGCAGTGCAATAGTAGTCAGCAACTGTTAATGCCAAACCAAATAAAACCACTTCCAGAAATGTTTTAATTTGGGACTTTGTCAATCAAAACTATGCAGCCACTTAACAGCTTAAATATGTCCAGGATTAGTAGACCTTCAGTTGTCTGGGAAATCAATGCCAATATCTCAAGCACCCAATAAGGCATTTGGAATCCATGACGTGTCTTTCTACTTTCTAGCTTACTAAAACAGGATTTTAACAGACTTTGATGACGGAGTTGGGTCTAGTTTCTCTTGTGACAAACCAGTATTGTGACTGATTTCTCCAGTTAATAAATACATTTAAAATATTTTACTATCTATCTTCTTAGACATGAAATATTAGCATATTAACAGATTCTGAAAATGACTCAAGGAGTTCTGAGAATAGTATACTGAATATAGGAACATCAAGGGTCATACACTGAAGCATAGATGGGGTGAAAACCACAGAGTGGTGTCCATTACAGATACCCTTCCATGAATGTGAGATTGGAAGTTGCTTGTGAAGGAAAAAAAAGAAAAAAAAAAACCTAAAAGAACAAACAAACAGAAAAAAAACATACATTTAAAACTTGGAAGCATCAACAGAGGATGCTGAATTAGTCAGGTCCCACAGCCAAGCACTGTTCTTGTCATTTATGTGATATCAAGGTTCAACCTACGGGATAACAGCAATCCTCACTATAATGAGCCAAAAACTCCGTAAAAAAAATAAAGATACAAACCGGAGTTTCCCTGAACCATTGTTACCAAGAGGGATGCTAAATTGTGTAAAAGAAGAAGAATCTTAATGCTGGATTTATTCTTTACAAATTGCACTTCAAGCCCAGAGGGAACTCTCCTCATGAGAAAATGTGGAATACAGCCTGTTAGCTGCAGCGAGACAGGCAGTTCAGAGGGGGCTGCGGATTTAGCTCGTGGCGCAGAGGCCGACCCTGGGAAGACAGCCATTCCCATGACGACATTCCCGACTTGGCAAACAGAGACCTCCAGAGCACTCTAAATTTGTATGAGAAGTTATTTATAAATGTTTAATATTTGAGGCATACTTTGAGCAATTGCATATCAACAGAATGGAGAATCTGAAAATAGTTTTAAGGACACTAGATGCTCGGAGATCAATATTTCAACTGGGAGTACAGCCAAGTCTCAGAACGGCAGGGGAGGCGCCAGGCCTGGGCAGGCTCAGCCTCCCGGTCACGAAGACGAGTGTCACTCTAATGCCCACTGAAGAGGAAACAGAAATGGAACAACTCAGAATTACATGGTGTAGGCACTCGGTTCTCTTTCTAGCAGAGAGAGTCGTTCTCAGCAAATCTCCTTAAATATTTTTCTATAGTGCTTGAGTCAGGAACTTAGAAATACCTGCCCCGATAGATTCTGCATGTCACAGATGTCCTTTATGTTCTTGAGAGCATCTTTAATAACAAGGAAAGACTTCAATTTTTAAAAATTAATGTTGATTATTAAATCAAATATTAAATATATATTTTCCTAGATCCTTGCAGTTCAACCAGTAAATTGTTTTAGTCTATTCAGTAATCTAGTAAATTTTCACAAGCATCCAGAGAGATATTTTAGTAAAAATGTTTAATTGCATCTCTCAGTTTATTGTGTTTGATTTTCTTTTGAAAGACTTCAAATGCCACTTATAAACAAAGCCTTTTAAGGCTTATAAATCTAATAAGTTTGATTTACAAATACAGTGAGCATGAGGTAATCCTAAACTTTTGACATTGTTTATGAATGATAAAATTGTCTCATGCTTTCTAATTTAAAATCATGAGTCTAAATCAATTGCTCAATTACATTATAAACTATACCATAAGTCAAATACCCTACATTCTCCTAAGTGCCAAATTCTGTTATAAATACTTAAATACCACATATATCAAGATAATTTCTAAACTTACAAAATTATTAATTTTTATTTAAATGTATCTTATCATTTCTATATGGAGTTCAGCCATAAACCCAATATACTAATCAGGGAATAAACAGAGTTGAGCGGAATTCACTGATGCGGGAAGTGTCATCTTCAGCTGGCATCTGTTCTCACCGTATCAGCATCCCTTCTGATCGGCTGGTCCCAGCGGTGTGGTAAACCAGGTCTCCAGAACCAAAAGCCCTCATCTGTGGCGCTTGCCAAGTTCTGTGGTGAAAATACTGACCAGCAGGCCCTTGCAAACTGCCACAGATTTAATAACTGGCTCATCGAATTCCTGAATATTTAACAGCTGGCTCTCATGAGCCAGTTTAAGTAGGCTGCCCCACGACACTGGTCTGTTGTATATGTGGCATTAGTTTTTAAATATTTTGAGTATCACTTCTGGGTAGAACCAAGAAATTTGAAAAGACATTTGTTATAAAAATATATAATTAGCAGGAATGCAAAATGCTACAGCTACTTCGGAAAATAGCTTGGCAATTCCTCAAAACGTTAACCATAGTGTTACCATACGACACAGCAATTCTACCCCTATCATTCATATACCCAAGAGAACAGAAAACCAGGTGCACATAAAAAACTTGTAAACTAATGTCCATGGTTCTTAACAGCCAAAAAGTGGAGGGCCTAACCATAGAGGTAGACCCATACAATGGATTATTATTTGGCCATAAAAAGGAATGAAGTATTGATAATGCTACAAAATGGATGAACCTCAAAACCACTGTGCTGAATGAAAGTCAGCCACAAAAGTCCACATGCTATCTGTGTCTATCTATATCGTGTACATTTATGTCCAAAATAGGAAAATCTATAGAGACAGAAAGTAGGTTTATGGTTGCCTAGGGAAAGAGGGGTCTTGAGGGCCTGGGGGTTATAAGGTTAACTTACCATTGGTAGCTTTCTCTTGGGGCTCACAAAAATGTTCTAAAATTAAATTTTCTTAATCGTAGAAATGATCTAAAATCATGGTATTGGTTGCATGACTCTAAAAGTGTACTAAAAAACCATTGAATTGTACACTTAAAACAGGTGAACTTTATGGTAAATATATCTCAACAAAGCTGTTTAGAGTTAATTTGCTTAAACAAGGTATAGTCTTATTTTCTCACACAAGAGTTTAGAAGGAGATGGGAAGTGGGGTGGCTCCTTCATTATGGGCCGGCTGCACTGAATTTTCCATCTCCAAAATGTGTTTTCTACTTAAGTTCAAGGCAGGTACAACTATCCCCTGCCCAATAGGAAGAGGGTAAAAGAGCCATGGAGCACACAGTATTTTGTGTATAGCAATTGGTATACCAAGGGAGTACACCAGTATTTTGATGGAAAGGCCAGGAAAGAGTGTAACTCACTGCTGTTTGCATCATATTTTCCACATGCACATTTAGTGATATGGTTACAATGGTAAGGGAGTTAGACAAGTCTAGATGGCTGCTGTGAACCCAGCTAAAGCTGAGCCAATCCAGTTATCAAAGAAGGAGGAAATGGATATTTTGATTACCCAGGGAAATCTGTAATACCCATTAATGAAGTAATTCTATTTTCTCAATAACTGGGACTGTTATCCCAAGAAAATCGGGGTTATCTTAGATAATTCAGTTTCATACTGACTAGAGAGACTATTTTTTTTCTGGGTCAAAAAAAATGTGCATATATTCAATTTTTTGTATGTTCTTAAATAAGAAGCCAAGCCTCTTAGCTGCAGTGCTGACAGGGACTCAAAGTTCATGCCTTGTACATGGGTGCTCTGGAAGACTTTGTCTCTGGGTGCTGGCAACACGTTACCTAATATTTCAGTCTGATTTGAATCTGCAAGGTCCTTGCATAAATCACTACACAACTGGATTGGATTCAACTAATTCATGTTTACCCTATCTGGCTGACCTCATGTTTTATTCTGACATTTAAATGGCATGCAACTGTATTGAACATATCTCTAGGATCTACATTTGCTCTTCAATTGCACCTGCAAAGATCACTCAAAGAACAGTGATCTCACCATCAGGATCTCAGCCCCCATGTGTGCACAACCAGATATGAAGCATCATTTAGTGAATGCTAGCTTCAAGCTCATGTTGTTTTCTGTAGACAAGAGTCAAGGTCGTTTTTGTACTCAGCAAGGACAAAACATGTTAATTTTTAAAAAGTCGAAATTAGTCATTGCCATTTAATATGCTTCTGTGGGACCTTCCTGTTTTATCCTTGTTGCCAATTGGTGTGGAAAGATTGCTTTGATAAGCATCTTGGTTTCAAGAATTATTTTCTAGCTCATGAGTATCTTCAGTTGTAAGTGGGAAGTGTATGTGTTACTGGTAGTCTCATTTTAGGATCGTTTCATTTTAGGATTATGCACAGTTACTCGATAGCCATTTACACTCTTGGCCCACCATTAATGATGTCTGACCTGCTTAGTGTCCTGCCCTCCTTAGGCCTTCTGAGTAAAACAGAAGAAATTAAAATGCCTTCATCATTGGGTGGTAGTGAGTGTTTAAGTGAAAATACAAAACACTTAGCATGTGGCAAATTCTCAAAAATGTTAGCAATTATTATTTTAAAATGACCATTTGCATATTCTGAGAGAAATGTTGGCCCAATCGGTCTTATCACTGAACAGAAAAACACTCTCCTTTCAGGGGAAAAGAATCCCACGTCAGCCAGAACCCTCCTTCGTGTGTACAATGATCCTTCACATACAGGTAGACATCATATTTGTAGTGTGCATGGCAAGAGCATCACCTTTTATTTCAGTGCAGGCCCTTGCCCTTCCGCTGTCTCATACTACAGGGTTCATTTTGAGCTTGGTTCTCCTAGTTTTCCTCAAGTAACCTTGGTGTGATAAAGGTGCAAGATGATTCGGACATCGTCTTTCTTATCTCTGTCTCATTGAAAGTAGCTATTGGGCCTTAAGCAGTCATCCAAGGACATGTTAGTACAACAAGATGTGTCCAAGTACATCCCATCCTTAGCTGTCTGGGTGTGCTCTCAAAGGAGGGCTTGTACTTTATGACTCACCTTGTAAGTAACAGCACTTCTGGGAAAGTAATTTATGCATCAGATGAAATCATCTCTTGAGGGTTTCTACACTGAAAATGGTCATTGCCTTTTACTCGTCGCATATGCCAATGTCAACCAAGATGCCTTATCACCAAGACAAATTTTTCTCCATGAAAATCTAGAAATCAGGGCTAGAAAACATAAGAAGGATTTTAAAATTAGTATGTGTGAGAAAATATCTTTGTATCATCTACCTATTTCTCTATATCTACATAGATCCACACACGTAAAACATGCTCTTATAATCACAACTGTGCCATATTCTATTACTCAGGGACTAAAATTCAGATTTTATATGGTGTGTTCACATTTCTCCCTTAATTCTGTGTGGTTGCTGTCCCTTTCTGAATATCCAAAGAGTGAAAATATCAGACAGGTTTCAACTCAAGCAGGGCTGAATATTTAACCAAGAACTACAGATTTCCTCTTATCAGCAATATAATTTGACTCAAATTCCTACATTTGAAACAAATTCAGACCCTCATCTTCCCCAGAATTGCTTTATCTCCCAATGTCAGACCTATGACTTAGTTATCCAAGGAAGGGGTCAGATTAGAAGGAAGAGGCATCTTGAAAGCTGGCATGCCTGCAATTGTGGGAGATAAGCCATCCCATGCCATCCCATGCCATCCCATGCCATCCCATGCCATCCTTCCAGAGTTCTGGTGGCCCATGTTAGGAAACTGGTCAGTAGTGTCTGTAAGGCATAGGCCAGAAACACAAACGCAGTCAAAGGAGTCATTTAATTCACAATCAAAAAAGATAGCAAATTATGAATGAAAGATCAAAGGCTCTAATCACACAAGCTATGGCTTTCTTATTCCATGGTTTCCAAGTGTCAGAAGGGAAATGAACATATGTCTAAAATGATGAATGTATAACAAAATAATCATAGAAGTTCCAATATAGAGTAAAATCTATATTGTAGCCTATGTTTTCCTGATATGCTATATTCTACATACCTGCAAAAAAGAGAACCAAAATCAAAGAAATAAATTAACGTATGTAAAGCAGCTGGGGCAGCATCAGTAGGGCAGGACCAGCCCTGAGCTTGAGGTCAGAAGGCCTGGGCTTTGAAGTGACCAGTAAGTAATTGTGTGACTCTGAGGAAAAGAAAACCATTATACATGGAGCACATTCTGTCAGCCCTGAGCAGGATGCTGTATATATGTTATGCCATTTAATTGCCTTAAAGCTTCTGTGAGTTACATAAATCACTACTACTTTATAGCTGGAAAAATCTCACAGAGCTATTGCCTGTTTTGGAAGAGAATCAATGACCAGATTTCTCAGCCAGTATAACCCTTTTCTTGGGAAGCAGAAAAGATTTTCATCTGAATCCTATTACATGACTTGTTTAAAATTGTCACTTTAAGATAATTTATGATACCTTGATGCCTATCTTGGTCAGATGTTCACTAAAACCTTAAAAAGCAATAGCATTTTGTTTTTTTATGTTGAAGCTAAAATTTAAGGTGGGAATCCTAGGTCTCTCAGAGGATGGTTTGAAAACCCCTGTTTTAGTTTTTTGAGTCAGTGATTCTGTGTCTTAGCAGAAAAATAAGAGACGGAATGCTTTAAAATGAGAAAATGGGTAAATGGCACCTAAGCTGTGTACAAGGAAAACTCTCATTAATATCACTGTAGATCATTTCTTCTTTTCTAGGCCATGGTAAATATGCTCAAAAAGCAAAGAGTAAGAATGTGTGTGTGCGTCAGAGGAAGCTGTCTTCTGACCTGAGAGCGAAGGTGAAATCCAGCCTCAGTTACATGAATAATCCTTTAAGATGTGATACTCTGGTCTCATTATCAGAAAAAATAAATTCTTATAGGCCAACTCATTTTCTAAGGATCTCTCATGGGTCATAGTTCACAAATGGGTCACAGATGGGCATGCTCAGAACAGGTGAAGGCAGAGTCTAACGAAGAGACAGAGTTAAGGTAAATAAGGGACAGCGAGCTACCACCCCTTGGCTTGAAGAGACAAAGGAAGGAAGTGGCTGCGGGCTACCTGTGGAGGCCTTACGGAGAGCGGGCCAACCGCGGCCGGCCCGGGGCCTGGCTCAGGAGTTGCTGACAGAATAAATTCTTCTACTTTTCTTCTCTCTTACCTTCATATTTCTTATGCTGCCCCTCATACAGGTCAACTTCTCAGCGTCCAAAGCAGCCAGAAGTATATCCAGAACAAATGCTTTTCTAACAGCAATTCACTGATTCAGTAGTTCATTCCATCATCGCATGCACACTTGTGAGCACCAATTGCATTCAAGATATAGTACTTTACATAAAAGCTGATAAGGAAGAAGGCAGAGACAAACATTGCATAAGAAATTGTCCATGTTCTTAAGGAGTTAGAAAACACAAATAGCCAAGGCAGGGTGAGGGAGGCACAAGGAAGTGTTATGAAAACTCAGAGCAAAGAGAGAATGAATGAGGCAACCAGGAACGGCTTTGCATTTGACATCGGTCTTGTAGGATACGCAAGACATAGAAACAGGTGATGGAGATGGCCCGCACGGAGTAAAAAGTGATGGGAAATGGGGAGACAAGGAGGTGGGAAGATGTAACCACGTCTGGGGTAGTCTGAGTGGAACACAGTGCTCCGTTAAGGAAGACGTGGGAGATAAAAACCGGAAATGAAAGCAGATAAAACCTGAACACCTGCCCCATCCCAAGTACACATGTGTTCACATGTACACACAACCACATATATTTATTAAAACAAGACTGTGCTAGGCCAAAACTTTAGCAAGTTATTTCTGAGTGAAATGCAAATGCTGTGGGAATGAATTATATAATCTGATGGTAGTGTGTCCTCTGGCGCAAGACAAAATCCAGTATGCACCCCGAGTAGTATGCCCCCTGTTCCAGCTTTATTCTAACTATTCCAGCACTGTTTCCAGTGCTCGATGGCTGTCAGGGTAACAGCACCATCTAGTGTGATCCAGTCTTACATTAAGTTCCAGGGCTTCTGATCCATTTCTAATATTATTAGAATAATCACAAAGGTACCAAAACAAAAATAAAACAAGCACCACGGTAAAACCCTCTACAACTTGCAATTTAATAGACTGAAATGCGCTGGGGTTTGTGGTATTGCTAAGGAAACCCCCTGAGGGAAAACCGCCACACCAAATCAGTACCTGAGATGACGGAAGTCTAAAAAGTAGTTTCTTGCCATTTCCTGGTTTGCCCAATCTGGCAACTAAAATATAAAAAACAATATTGATTCTTCTTCAGAGAAGAACAAATAACAATCTTATTTCTAAGTACAATTTTGAACATGTAAATTAAAAAATGCATTATCTTTACACATTAACTATCAATGATCACCACTTAAATATATAATGTGAAACTTAACAGATAAGCTGTAAGGATTATTTACTGTAGTAGTTGGAATATGAGGGCAAACTTTGAGTCATCCATCATAAACTCACTCTGGAAAATAATCAGATCATGAAACATGAACACCAACGTTCAAGAGAATCTCAGTGTGTTTGCCATGCTGTTCCCTGTTTGAACAGCAGGCAAAGGGAATGATGGGCCAGTGGAGCAAACCAGCCATAGATGAGAAGATAACACAAAGGGAAGGTGCTGAAGGGCAGCAGGGATTCAGGGAGCAAAGAATGAGAGCCATTTGATCTCCCCATTCCCCATCATTTCGAAGTTTACATTTCAATATCAGATCTGCAACACCCCCAATGTTTTTAAACGAAGCCAATAATTTCCTTATCATCGTTAAAAATATAACATAACCAAAACAGATCTGCCTAAGCAAATACTGTGCAGCAGGGTACAATGCCCACGCCTCTACCAGGTGTTCTACAGTGTGACCAGACCCCCGGAAAGAGAGATCATGGCTTGCTCTTTGGTGTCTCAGCAATTAAGCCATTCTCCTAACTCTTTAACTTTTTGCCTGTTGATACATCTGAAAAGAGCGATCCTAGCTCAAAGGAAAACCAATCCAGCATTTTCTGACTGGAATATTTCATGTGGTGAACATGTAAATTGAATGTTTGCAAAGAGCAAAAGCACAGAAGCTGTATTTCCCATTGCTTCATAATCTATGGTTTCAGGACCACTGGTATCAACAGGAGTTTGCCTTCAATCACAGTAAGCTGCTGCCCATGTGGAAAATGCTTTCTCTGGGGAATGGCCTCACACAGCCACGTCTTGTTACAGGCAGGCTGATCTAACTGGAAGATAATTCGCACTTTCTCAGTCAAATATATTTGAAGAACATGACTATGCTTTAAAGTTCACAAAAACTAGTACTGAAAACATTTTCCCTGGAGGGGGTCTGGTTCTTATGCCTCAGTGGACACACCGATCCGTGGGGAGTTCATTAGAAATGCGGAGTCCACAGCCTCACGTTCAGACCCACCGAGTCAGTCTCGTGGTGAAAGACCAAGGATTCAGTATGTTCAACAGGCATGCCAGGTGATTCTGAGGTGGACTACTGAAAATACGCTTTTAGGAAAACAACGTGGATCCCCATGGGGTTGTTTTTTCTTGACCAATAGAAGTCCACATAACCACTGTTGTTTGCCCTCTGAACAGGAGGCCACATTTTGATAGATTAATATTGCATAATCTTTAGCAACTGTAATTCTTGCAGTTGGTGGTATACTTGCTCTAAGAACTCAGTTTCAGAATCTGGAACCTTCCATTCAAAACTCTGAATCCATAACTTTTTTACTAAAAATTCAGTAAGGTTTTACCAAAGACATAAAATATTTTATCCAGGGTATACTACATACTCCTACAAGATAGACTCTTTCATTTTTCTCCTACTAGAAGTCTCACTACAGTCCAATCACCAAGAACAATTAGCATTCATCTGTTCTTAAGTCTTACTTCATTCCTGTGTCTCTGTTTCTGCCTCTTTCTCCTCACACTCATCTGCCCAGCAAAATGCAACACATCTTTCAAGACACAGATCGAATGTCACTTCTCGTGAATTCTTTCATGAGCTCCATTAGGAAGAACTGACCACTACCACCCTGTTCCTTCTGCTGAGCCCTGGACACACATAAAGTTGAATGGCACCTGTTGGTTTACATGTCTCTCTCTACCAACCATGAAGTAAGCCCTTTTAGAGGATGGTTTCTTATTCATTTGATAATCCAGGACCTAGCCCAGGGTAGACTGTCCAAAACTGTCTGTAAACAGTCAGTAAGTGTTTCATGATTAGATGTGCAAGCAGTGCTACGCATGTGGCCATCTTGAAACCTGGAGCAAGGTAAATGCTGTACTGAAGTAACAGTTTGAAGCATTATGAATTAATAACAAGAATTTCAATAGTAAAAATACCCAAATCCTCATTTTGCTTCAACATCTTTTATCTGAAAACAGTTCCTTGTTTCTTAATCTACTAATTAAAAAGAATATATATTTGAATTAAATAAAAATATGTGTGAAGTGGCAGAGAATGTAGAGGCATCAGCTATAAATCCCTTGCCCCAAAATACTGATCTGGTGTTCCTGGAGATGCTTGTTCTCTTTCATGTCTAGAAAACAAAACTACATAGAACTGTTGCTATTTGGGGATAAAATTTATCACACAGTTTTCCTCGTTGCCCAGCCAGTTATAGGAGCCCCAGAATTCTTCAGCGTTTCTTAGGACAAGAGATGTATCAGAAATGAGTGGAGAGAGCTCTCGAGAGCATATGTAGACCCCAAAGTGGCAAAAACGTGGACTCCATTATTTATTTATCACTTTTACACTCTGACTGCAAAAACATACATCTGAAATGAAGATATGTTTCCCATATAATTCTTTATACTGGTACAGAAAAATATGCTATAGTCACCAGTGAAATTCATAAGCATCTATGCTGAACAATCACTGTAGAGCTTAAAGTTATCAATACTAATCAACTCAGAGCAAGAAAAGATAAAATTAGTAATTTCATGATGAATAAGTTTAGCATTTTGACATTTTAATTATTTTCCTTCTGAAATCATTAAACAAAACTCATGGGGAAAACATTAACATTTAGGATATGTATCCTATAAAAGCAGGTGGGATAAAAGATTTTTAATCTATTTTTAATACTTCTTGATTACGAGCACATTGGAAAAATGTTCTACCTATGAAAGAAAAAGATTTGCAAAGGTTATTTCCTTAAACATGAACTGTATCAATGTTGTTTATTTTAGAAAATGAGAATCACAATTCAATAGTGAAAAGCAACTACACAGTAGTAAGACCAATGATCGAAAATTTTATATACCTGGATCTGTTAAACACATAGATGCATATAAAAGTTATGCATGTAAAACCTTCAATCATTGGTATTACTACGCTATAGTTGTTTTTCAGCTCTTGAAATATGACCTCAATTTACATATATACAAATTTACATGCAGAAGATTATGTGCCTTCACTTGGCTTCACCACACACAAAAATCTCAGTGTCCTCACAATTCTCTTACATGCCTTTTCATAAGGTGCAGTACTTAAGGCTCTACTTGTATGTATGGCTACACAATACTTACTCATTCGTGCCACCCCAGTATCTTTCTGAAGTCGAGTGTTTCAGTGTTATCTGAGTTAGGAGTATAAATTATACATAATAAACATATGGGCACTTGAGATGCACTGTGGACGAAGACAAGATCCCCACCTTCAAGAAATGTGTGGACCTTCGTCTGCATCAGAATAGAGAGAATCACAGGAACAGCTATGGCCAGCTTTATGTCATAAACTTCTCTTCCGAAGAACAGGCCAACCAGAAGGACAGAAAGCAGAACCTCAGCGCTTACGGACCTGTCAGTCTCCCAGCGTCCTCGAGAGATGTTCCTGCGGGGGGTCAGCACAATGGCGGGTTGGGCTTCCTGAAAATTAAGAGAATCAACTGTAGATTTCAAATACAGGTTGTTTCCCAGAATGCTATCCAGTGTGTTAGTAGAAAGGAGAAGAAATCAGAAAGGAAGCATTCTAAAGACTGACCATCTGAATTTTTAAACTTACAGGGTTAAAATAGGAAGTTTCAGAATGAATTGCCTCTTTACTCTCTCTTGCCTACAGGCCACCCCAACCCCTCCACAAGGGGGCAACAGTGAGCAACTAATGTACCACGAAGACCTTCAGGATATCGAAGATACAGAAATGAACGGGTACACCATTTCTGGCCAATAAAATATAACCAGCACTTGAAAAGGAGAATACCTAATTTCAACACTAATGCATTAAAAGGGACTCTTGTCTTATATGCTATAGAAATACAATTTGATAGGAGACTTTTGGAAAGCAACTTCATGATTCTTAGCAAGACACAAAAATATTTGTATCTCTGATTCAATAATGCTACTGGTTACTGGTGAGATGTATATTTTTAACTATTTACAATAGTTAAAAATATACGACATGAGATGTACCCTTTTAACAAATTTTTACAAGTACAGTACAGTATCGTTCACTGTGAGTACCTATGTTGTACAGCCCATCTCTAGAACTTTTTCACACTGCATGACTGAAACTTTATACCCATTGAACAGCAACTCCCCATTTCCCCCTAACCCCAGCCCCTGGAAACCACCATTCCAGCCTCTGCTTTGATGAGTACTAAGATACATCTATAGGTGGAATTTCTTTTTTTGGGGTACCAGCTTATTTCACATAACATAATGACTTTAAAGTCCATCCGTGATGTAGCATCTGTCAGGATTTTCTTGTTCTTAATGACTGAATAATATTCCATTGTATGTATGTATTTTCTGTATCCATTTATTCACCACTGGACATTCAGGTTACTTCCACCCCTTGGCTATTGTGAATAAGGCTATAATGAACAAGGGAGTGCAGACAACTCCTCAAGATCCTGATTTAAATTCTTTGAATAAGTAGCCAGAAGTGGAATTGCTGGATCTCATGATAGTTCCATTTTTACTTTTTTAAGGAAACTTCATAACGTTTTCTACAGTGGTTACACCAATTTACAGTCCCACCAAGAGTGCACAAGCTTTCCAATTTCCACACATCTTTGCCAACACCTTTTTTTAATGACCATCCTAAAAGGTAAAAGGTAGTTTTTCATTGTGGTTTTGATTTGCATTTCCTTGATGATTAGTAAGGTTGAGATTCTTTCATAATTACCTGTTCACCACTGGTATGTCTTCTTTGGAGAAATATCTGTCCAAATCCTTTACCCATATTTGGCTTTTTTGCTGTTGAGTTGTAGGAGTACCTTATATATTTTGGATACTTATTGCTTATCAGATAAATGATGCACAAACATTTTCTCCCGTTTTATAGGCTGTCTGTTCACTCTGTTGATTGCTTCCCTCGCTGTGCAGAAGCTTTTTTGTTTGACGCAGTCGCCCTTGACTGTTTTTGCTTCTGTTGCTTGTGTTTTTGGTGTCATATCCAAGAAATGACTGCCAGGACCAGTGTCAAACAGCTTTCCCCCTATTTTCTTTGAGGGATCTTACAGTTGCAGTCTGACACATGTGTACTCCATTTTGGGTTGACTGTTGTGTCTGGTGTAAGATAAGGGTCAGATTTAATTCTTTTGTGTGTGGATATCCAGTTTCCCCAACACCATTGTTGAAGAGAGTATCTTCTCCCTGTTGTGCATTCTTGGCACCCTTGTCAAAGATCTGTTGACTGTATATATGCATAGGTTCACTTCTGGGCTCTCAATTCTACTACCTTGAGAATGGAATAAGGATAGTACAGAGTTGGATCTTATTTTTTAATTCTTTCAGCTACTCTGTATCTTTTCATGGGGAGTTTAATCCATGCACATTTAAAAGAACTACAAATAGAGCAGGACCTACTATTTATTTGCTGTCTTTCATTGGTCTCGTAGCTGGTTTCCGGATTTCTCACAAAGGTAATGGCATCTCTGTGGGAGGCAGAGTTGGGGGCTTCATATTCAGCTATCTTGCTACCTTCTGCAAAGATCCAGTTTTTATTAGTCAGCACTGTTTCAGGCTTCTAGTAGTATTCAAAGTGAAACTAGCTTAAGCTAAAATAACTGAGTAACTGGTACAAAACACTGAAAATTAGTGGCATAGGGCTTTTCAAGCAAGCAAAGCTTAAATGATATAGTTCAAAGCTCTATCTTTTTCTCCATCATTCAGGCAGATTCCCTCCTAACAATGAGCAAAGCTGCCTCCCAACTTGGCAGCCTGAATGAAAAGCCCAGCCAACGAGTCCTGGAAAAACTCTGTCCAGGCCTGCATCACATGCCTCTCAACCCTGAACCAACCCCAGTGCCAAGGACAGTGGGCTGGGGTTCTGAAGCCCAGGCCCACGTGTGCTCATGTACGGCTGCCACTGATGTCAAGGGGGTGATGAAACTGATACCCCACAGGAAATGGGCTTTTGTTTCTATGAAGTCAGAAGACCTGCGGGTTATAAAAACAGATTTTCTGTCTATCCCACTCGTGAAGAAAAGCTTTATGACACAAAACTGTTTACAGAGTCATTACATATAATGACTAAAACTTTAAAACACACTACAATACCCAATAATAAGGGAATGGTTAGTAAATGATGATATATTCAGATGATCATTAAATTTTACATAGTTTTATTAATGTGGAAAATGTGTTATAATGTTAAATGACAAAATAAGGACACAACTCTACAAGATCGATTGAGCAGATTGTAACTATATGCAAGGCTGTAAAACACTTGAGAAAACATCTAGAAAGGTTATAATACAAAGACTAGATAGATTTGGAGGGTAAAATATATCCCTTCTGTTTTTGTATTTTTTCCTATTTTTTGTAATGCATATGGATTTTATATTTAGAGAACAGTGAAGATTTTACTTGAAATAGAGACAAAGAATTGCTTATATTTATATGCATTTAGGACACCAGAACCACACAGGAATTATGAGGTGGGATAAATGATTAAAAGAAGAGGCTTAAACAGACAAATTATGTTTCAGCCAAGTGAGAGGGGTTTTCATATATTCTGAAAGTGAGTAGACTGCAGTAGCAGGCACTCGGGGACCTGGAACGGTTCCCATACATGACACTGAGGTGCCTTTCCTCATTTTCTCTAAAAGGAGTGAAGGGCACATGGGCAGCGTGCTTAAGAATCTGAGGTGCGTTCACTGTGATACAGCCTGCAGTCCAGTGTTAGCAGAGGTAGAAAAGGAGGCTTCTGCTCATTCACTCCACAGGGCTCACATTGGGCCTAAAACTTCAATAAAACCAAGAAATAAATGAGACTGCGACATAAAACTGCATGAACGCTGGAAAGGCATATGCTGAATTCTACAGTGAAAGCAGAATTTCTTTTACCTGAAACTATTTCTAAGAAAAGTTAGAACTGATGATTCTCAGAGTGTGAGAGACCAACAGTAATTTCAGAAAACACCTTCCATCTGGGCTCCTGCTGCTAATGTTCTTGCTATTTTAATTTTAAAAATTTATATTGATTTGTTTACTTATCATAACTAGCAATTCTATCTCAGATTTAATTTTCAACATCTTAATTACCCTACTGTGAACATCCTGCCTCCCACCTTCCCTCTGTTCTTCCCAGGCAAGCAAACGGCACGCTGCCGGGAAGAGGCCATATGTTTCCTTGCACAGGAACACCAAAATAGAAAAGAGGCCAATAATTATCAAAACATAAACAAATTAATTTGGCAAAGGAGCAGAATTCACAATTAAAAAATCCCAGCCTAGAGTGTCACTGGTTGCCAGTTCATTTACATAAGTGTTTCCTCGTCATCTGCTGTGCGCTGCTGGCTGAGAACTGTGTCCAAAGAATCGGCACACGGCCCCTCTTCCCAAGGAGCGGACAGTGTTGCTGCAGAAATGAACAGTTACGCCACTGTGATGAGGCTGAAAAATGGCGAGGACAATAGGAGGAATAGCCGCTAATCCAGCAGAAAGGGAAGAACTTTTAGCTCTTATCTGAAGCATGAACAGTACAGAGAATTTCAGGCTGGTGGATTTTTTTTTTTTTTTTTGCAGGGAAGTCCTGGGTTTATGAAAGTGAACTCGGGCACAGTGAGGAATCCGGCATGACTGCCGTCTGTGTGTGATGAGGAATGCAGGCCGTAAGCAGATTATTGAGCCCAGATGTCATGCTAGGGACTGAACATCATCTCGTAGACCATGGGGAGCCACCAGAGCATTAAAGCAACAGTGTGGCACGAGCAATTCTGCAGTTTTGTAAGAAAAGCTGCTGTGACAGTATGAGGGGTGGATTTACAGGGTGAGAAAGTATAAACAAGGAGGCCGGTCAGAGGCCATACCCTGTGTGAGAACAGAAGAGGAAATAAGGAAGGCAGTGGCAGCAGGGATAAAAGGGCCACAATCGGGAGACAGCCCGGAGGCAGCACCAGCACATGCAAAGTAGTGGGATGCGTGCGGGCTGGCTGCTCGGGGCCGTCTCTGTGAAGCACTCCGGGCACTATTCTCACTGAATCCTCCTCATGGCCCTGCGAGGCACCTTCGTTATGTTGATCGTGCCTGTTCACGGATGCTGGAACTGAGGAGGAGAAGAGTTTAGTAGCTTTTGCTCAAGATCCCACAGCCAGGACTGAAGGCAGGAGCAACCCACTCACTCTAGAGCACGGTGACCCCTACCGAGTCTTCACCCTAAGGTTTGCAGCAAATACTTTGAGGTTTATACTGGACCGACTCTAGCTCTCCTGGCATGGGCCAGCACCTTTACAACTCAGGGCACCTGGTGTTTCAATGTGGGTCTATGAATGCAGATTATGGCATATTTCTTTAAGGGAAGGCAACTGTTTATGGAGGCAAGTCTAGAAGGGCCTTGACAAAGATGCTTGGGGGAAAAAAAAGCCTTCAGCAGCACTGACAGCTCAGAGCTTACGCTGTTGCTTTGTGACCTTGAAATACACTTGCACATGATGCATAGACGGCAAAAACCACAACAGATGCCAGAGGCTGCAGAGGTCTGGGTGCTCAAGGGCAGCTGAAGCAAGAATTAAGTCATGGAGCTAATTGGAGTTTTTCTGTAAACCTGCTGACCTTGTTATACTTGCTTTTAAACTACAAGGCAGCTGCGTGTCCTGTGTGCGATGGCGCACGTCTTGGGTCTCAGCAGAGCCCAAGAGCACAGGCTTCAGAAGCATCTAGAATAGTTTCATTTCAAGAAAATGTTGCAAATGCTTTTCTGACTGAAATAAATATGAGGACAAGATGAAAACCATCACTGGAAGCAAATTTCTTGGGCCTAAGTAATTTCACAACAAGAGACAGAGGCATTAGACTAGGGCACAGGGTTCAAAGGTATGTCTCCAAGATCCACAGGAGCCTTATGACCCACAGACCCTGCTGTCCATGCAGCGCTCAGGCACCCGGGGCACCAGGATCAAAGGAGGGGTGCCCATGAAGCAGCTCTGCAGGGGGAGATGTCTCCCCCAGAAGGGGAAGGTACATTGCACTGAACCCTTATGCTAGAGATTCACCCCACGCACTTTAGATTAACAAGTCCTACAGTCTACTTGATTTGTTTTGACTGACTGCTGGCATCATGGTGAGAACAAAAATTAAGCCTTTTTTCCCACCACCTTTTTTGGGGGCCAGTCCCCAGAGGGCCCTGGCGTTTCCTGGCTCCTGGTATTTAAACCCTGTGTAATACCCTCTGTTGAGGTATTACTGGACTCAGTGACTCATTTCTAAGGAATAGAATAAGACAGAGGACAGTGTATGGCTCAAACTAGGCCGTAAGGGGCAGTGCAATGCTACTCTCGTCAGGTCACTGGCTGTGTTAAATTAATAAAATGTATGAGGTCCCATTCTCAGGTATCCAGATAAACTGAGAAAACCTCATGTGGTTTGAGCAGAACATAAGTTGGTAATTACTTTACTTTCTTACTTTTAACTCATATTGTCAACAAAATCAACTGTGAAACATTAATTTCCTTAAAGTTTAGCAGGTATAACCTTTGTTTCTCCATGACTTTGACAGAAGAAGAGGGCATCTATTGAAGCTTACTGGAATTTTATTATTGCAGAATTTATGTATTTTATTAAATCATGTGATAATGACATTAAATCTCATTGCAAAGCCAGTGATATGTTACATTACAAAGTATGGTTGGACATAATTTGGGATGGGAAGTCAAGTGGGGACCAAATTTTCAACCTTAAATAGAGGAGCCCTGGAGTAGATTAAGTATTTGAGTAGAAGACCCATTTTGGAGGCTTCTCAGGGCAAAACGCACATTGCCTGCGAGTGGTCCCAAAAAGATGTTCAAGGAGCAGTAGCTGGTCTTTGAGAGACAGGTGAGGTGGGTGGAGAACGTGGCGGCCCGCCTGGGACTGCTGACGTCCAGGACAGGGAGCCCCCAGCCAGCTACACAGGGGCCAGGAGGCCGCCCCATGAGCGGGAGGAGGCAAGCAGAACGGGACATGTCTGCAGGGACGATGATGTCTTCTTCCTCTGAGGGCAGTTCTGCTACTGGGAAGCCCACCCGCCTCTCGCCCTTTACTCTGCTCTGGGGGATGGAATAATTTATCTGACTGACAGATTTCAAAAGAGACCTGGGCACGCAGGGCCAGCCCGACCGTTTTCCTTCTTGAGAGCTTGGGGCTCCCAGCTGTAAAACTTTCTCTATTGCTCCGGGGGGCAGGCTTTCCCCCTGATTCCTTGACCGAGTGGGTCAGTCTGACTAATTCTAGGATTCAGTGACTGGGCCCATTTCCCTCTTTATTGCAGTTTTTAAAGCAACATTTAAATTTTCCATAAACCTTACTCTTCACTTTATTTATCAGTTTGTTTTGAACTGGAAAAGGACAAAGGGGGTTACGTCCTCTACCACAGAAACCAGAAACCAAAACTTCTGCCAAAATTCAAGGAACTGAAAGAATTTTGATAGATCCTCTGTAAGATACTGGACTTGGGTCCTGTTTGCACACTGTCTGATTTATAGACTTAAGTTTGCAGACATTCCT